AGCTTCTTGTTTCTTCTGATTGATTTCTGTCATCTTTCCTTTTCCATATATGGAAATCAGTCAGTATATCAGTATTGTATACTGACACGTACGTTAGCAAGACAATATTCGAATTATGCTATTTTACTGAGAAGACGTTTAGTCCACCAGGGACGAAACGTCTGAGAAACCGCATATTTGGCCTTATTTACGGAAATCCGTCAGCATATCAATATTATATACTAATGAGTATGTTAACAAGACATAGTATCCGATTTATGCAATTTTTATTGAAATGTTTCGTCCACAAGGGGCGAAACGTCTCGGAAACCTCTTATTTTGTCTTACGGAAATCAGCCAGTATAACAGTTAGATCCGAACCATTACAGAATTACTTTTAAGTTGACATATTCTTTGATATTCAATATGATGTTTCTTGTTCCTGATGCACTAAATAGCCGTGATGTCGCTCCAGCATTGTACAGGAAGACATGTCTAATGTATTGTTGATGAAATCTCTCTCATTGATTGGCTAATGAGATTGAAAACCTTCGCGCTACACGAGGGCCATTAAAGTTGCATGTCACGTGTTCACCACCCGTCAAGAATACTTTAAGACAGGTATTGCACTCTTACTGCATGAATATAGAGAATATACACAGGTATTGCTCTCACTGTATGAACACCGAGAGTATACTCCTCATACTTTTTGTTTGGTTGGTGTGTTTAATGTATTTGAGAAATATAATTACGTTAAGTGCTTTAGGAATAACTGATTGATTTCAGGTATTGTTTAACGCAATGCTAAGCTTTGCGAAATTTTGTGTCTGGCCGTCACTCAGATTCACTCTCGAACATTTATATGTCTCCACTCTTTTTGTGTTGTATATGTGTCGTATGTATGTTGTGTGTCGCGTATGTGTGTTGTATGTGTGTCGTAAGTATTGTATGTATGTGTGTGTTGTATGTGTGTCGTAAGTATTGTATGTATGTGTGTGTTGTATGAGTGTCGTATATGTGTTTCGTATGTATGTGTGTGTTGTATGTGTGTAGTATATGTGTTTCGTATGTATGTGTGTTTTATTTATATTTAGAAGCAAGAAGGATCTACCACGTCAATTGTTATACGGGTTACAGAGCTTCCATCCTCGTACCATTCTAGTACCAGTCTAGTAGTGGTTCATCACCTCCCTCCTCCTCCCTGGTCCAGTTACCACTAGTGGTTCATCACCTCCTTCCTCCTCCCTGGTCCAATTACCACTAATGGTTCATCACCTCCTTCCTCCTCCCTGGTCCAGTTACCACTAGTGGTTCATCACCTCCTTCCTCCTCCCTGGTCCAGTTACCACAAGTGGTTCATCACCTCCTTCCTCCTCCCTGGTCCAGTTACCACTAGTGGTTCATTACATTCTCCTCCTCCCTGATCCAGTTACCATTAGTGGTTCATCGCCTCCCAGGTCCAGGTACCACTAGTGGTTCATCATCTCCCAGGTCCTGGTACCATTAGTGGTTCATCCCCTCCCAGGTCCAGGTACCAGTGGCTCATCACCTCCCAGGTCCAGGTACCACTAGTGGTTCATCACCTCCCAGGTCCAGGTACCACTAGTGGTTCATCACATCCCAGGTCCAGGTACCATTAGTGGTTCATCACCTCCCAGGTACAGGTACCACTAGTGGTTCATCACCTCCCAGGTCCAGGTACAACTAGTGGTTCATCACCTCCCAGGTTCAGGTACCACTAGTAGTTCATCACCTCCCAGGTCCAGGTACCATTAGTGGTTCATCACCTCCCAGGTCCAGGTACCACTAGTGGTTCATCACCTCGCAGGTCCAGGTACCATTAGTGGTTCATCTCCTCCCAGGTCCAGGTACCACTAGTGGTTCACCACCTCCCAGGTCCAGGTACCACTAGTGGTTCATCACCTCCCAGGTCCAGGTACCATTAGTGGTTCATCACCTCCCAGGTCCCGGTACCACTAGTCGTTCATCACCTCCCAGGTCCAGGTACCACTAGTGGTTCATCACCTCCCAGGTCCAGGTACCACTAGTGGTTCATCACCTCCCAGGTCCAGGTACCATTAGTAGTTCATCACCTCGCAGGTCCAGGTACCATTAGTGGTTCATCTCATCCCAGGTCCAGATACCACTAGTGGTTCATCACCTCCCAGGTCCAGGTACCACTAGTGGTTCATCACCTACCAGGTCCAGGTACCATTAGTGGTTCATCACCTCCCAGGTCCCGGTACCACTAGTGGTTCATCACCTCCCAGGTCCAGGTACCACTAGTGGTTCATCACCTCCCAGGTCCAGGTACCACTAGTGGTTCATCACCTCCCAGGTCCAGGTACCACTAGTGGTTCATCACCTCCCTGGTCCAGGTACTAGTGGTTCATCACCTCCCTGGTCCAGGTACTATTAGTGGTTCATCACCTCCCTGGTCCAGGTACTATTAGTGGTTCATCACCTCCCTGGTCCAGGTATCATTAGTGGTTCATCACCTCCCATTTCCAGGTATAACTAGTGGTTCATCACCTCCCTGGTCCAGGTACTAGTGGTTCATCACCTCCCTGGTCAAGGTACCACTAGTGGTTCATCACCTCCCATTTCCAGGTACCACTAGTGGTTCATCTCCCAGGTCCAGGTACCATTAGTGGTTCATCACCTCCCAGGTCCAGGTACCACTAGTGGTTCATCACCTCCCATTTCCAGGTACCACTAGTGGTTCATCACCTCCCTGGTCCAGGTACTAGTGGTTCATCACCTCCCTGGTCCAGGTACCACTAGCGGTTCATCACCTCAGTGGTCCAGGTACTATTAGTGGTTCATCACCTCCGTGGTCCAGGTACTATTAGTGGTTCATCACCTCCCTGGTCCAGGTACTACTAGTGGTTCATCACCTCCCTGGTCCAGGTACCACTAGTTGTTCATCACCTCCCATTTCCAGGTACCACTAGTGGTTCATCACCTCCCTGGTCCAGGTACTAGTGGTTCATCACCTCCCTGGTCCAGGTACTATTAGTGGTTCATCACCTCCCTGGTCCAGGTACTATTAGTGGTTCATCACCTCCCTGGTCCAGGTATCATTAGTGGTTCATCACCTCCCATTTCCAGGTATAACTAGTGGTTCATCACCTCCCTGGTCCAGGTGCTAGTGGTTCATAACCTCCCTGGTCCAGGTACCACTAGTGGTTCATCACCTCCCTGGTCCAGGTACTATTAGTGGTTCATCACCTCCCTGGTCCAGGTACTATTAGTGGTTCATCACCTCCCTGGTCCAGGTACTAATGGTTCATCACCTCCCAGGTCCAGGTACCACTAGTGGTTCATCACCTCCCTGGTCCAGGTACTAGTGGTTCATCACCTCCCTGGTCCAGGTACTATTAGTGGTTCATCACCTACATGGTCCAGGTACCACTAGTGGTTCATCACCTCCCTGGTCCAGGTACTATTAGTGGTTCATCACCTCCCTGGTCCAGGTACTATTAGTGGTTCATCACCTCCCTGGTTCAGGTACTAGTGGTTCATCACCTCCCTGGTCCAGGTACCACTAGTGGTTCATCACCTCCCTGGTGCAGGTACTATTAGTGGTTCATCACCTCCCTGGTCCAGGTACTATTAGTGGTTCATCACCTCCCTGGTCCAGGTACTATTAGTGGTTCATCACCTCCCTGGTCCAGGTACTATTAGTGGTTCATCACCTCCCTGGTCCAGGTACTATTAGTGGTTCATCACCTCCCTGGTCCAAGTACTATTAGTGGTTCATCACCTCCCAGGTCCAGGTACTATTAGTAATTCATCACCTCCCTGGTCCAGGTACTAGTGGTTCATCACCTCCCTGGTCCAGGTACCACTAGTGGTTCATCACCTCCCTGGTCCAGGTACTATTAGTGGTTCATCACCTCCCTGGTCCAGGTACTATTAGTGGTTCATCACCTCCCTGGTCCAGGTACTATTAGTGTTCATCACCTCCCTGGTCCAGGTACTATTAGTGGTTCATCACCTCCCTGGTCCAGGTACTATTAGTGGTTCATCACCTCCCTGGTCCAAGTACTACTAGTGGTTCATCACCTCCCAGGTCCAGGTACTATTAGTGGTTCATCACCTCCCTGGTCCAGGTACTATTAGTGGTTCATCACCTCCCTGGTTCAGGTACTATTAGTGGTTCATCACCTCCCTGGTCCAGGTACTATTAGTGGTTCATCACCTCCCAGGTCCAGGTACTATTAGTGGTTCATCACCTCCCAGGTCCAGTTATTCATACCTTCTCACACGCCCCTATTTACATAATAAGTTCCAGGAATATCTGGAACTTTCATCAATCTTTTAACATTAATATGTTAACGATATTTTTGTTAGTACTGTTTAGTAATGTTCTTGTTAGTACTGTTTAGTAATGTTCTTGTTAATACTGTTTAATAATGTTCTTGTTAGTACTGTTTAGTAATGTTCTTGTTAGTACTGTTTAGTAATGTTCTTGTTAGTACTGTTTAGTAAAGTTCTTGTTAGTACTGTTTTATTGTTTTCTTTTTTTATTTTGTTGTTGTTTTCCCGCGTGTGATTGTCTATAATTGTTAATGTTCAAAGTTGTGTATGACTGACTAACAGTGCTTTTCAGATGTCAACATTACCGTATTTTCTGGCGTATAAGGCGCGCTTTCCACAAAAAGTCCTGGAAAATCAGCCTACGCCTTATATGCTCAAGGTCAGGGATCAAGGGTAGGCTTTGTGGTACGCTTTAGCAGTTGTTTACTAACGTTATGTTACAACTGCTTGGGAATATAGTCTTATGTGTTCTTGCACATTATAAATGCTGGAAAATACTGTACCTCTCCTCTTCTACTGTCTCCAGTATTCTCCCGTATTCAACTGAAGAAGTGTCTCTTGCGCAGGCGAAACGTTTCGGCAGTAACGCTACCAAGGTGTAACACATGTGTGTTATTTATTAACTTGTCGGTATTGTGTACCATGAATACAACACTACCTACCTACCCTGATACCCAAGTGTCTTGTTTCTCCACCAGTACGGCCGCTGTTTACCAGGCTGGAGTCACCACCCAAGTCGTTAAGGGTTGGCAAGGAGTACCACATTACCTGTCTTGTGGCTGGGTCCCGTCCTCAACCCAACATTACCTGGACTCTTGGCAACGTGGCATCCCATGCTCCCATCCTAGCTCAGGTAAGTACCTTGTCTTGCCGAGTGAGTACGTGGCAGTCTCCCATGCTCCTATCCTAGCTCAATGAGTACGTGGCATCCCATGCTCCTATGCTAGCTAAGGTGAGTACGTAGCATCCCATGCTACTATCCTGGTCACGGACTGGGCCGCTGGGGCGCTAACTCTGAAACCCTCCCCAGGTATACTTGAGGTATCCTAGCTCAGTGAGTACCTGTCATCCCATGCTCTTACCCTCGTTCAGGTGAGCACCTTGTATTGGCCGAGGTGAATAGGTATCCTCAGTAAGATGACGCCTCGCAGCTGCGCTGAGTGTCGTGTGTCTGAGTTTTATTCACTCGGAATTTCTCTCCAGTTTTACCTGAGTTTCTTGCAGTAGTGTGTGTGTGTGTGTGTGTGTGTGTGTTTGTGGTGTGTGTGTGTGAATGTGTGTGTATATGTGTGTGTGTGTGTGTGTGTTGTGTGTTTGTGGTGTGGTGTGTGTGTGGTGTGTGTGTGAATGTGTATGTGTGTGTGTGTGTGTGTGTATGTGTGTGTGGTGTGTGTGTAGTGTGTGTGTGTGTGTGTGTGTGTGAATGTGTGTTGTGTGTGTGTGTGTGTACTCACCTAATTGTGGTTGCAGGGGTCGAGACTCAGCTCCTGGCCCCGCCTCTTCACTGATCGCTACTGGGTCCTCTCTCTCTCTGCTTCCTGAGCTTTGTCATACCTCTTCTTAAAACTATGTATGGTTCCTGCCTCTACTACTTCACTTGCTAGGGTATTCCACTTGTGTGTGTGCTTGTACTCACCTAATTGTGGTTGCAGGGGTCGAAACTCAGCTCCTGGCCCTGCCTCTTCACTGAGTGCTACTAGGTCCTCTCTCTCCCTGCTCCATGAGCTTTGTCATACCTCATCTTACAGCTATGCATGGTTCCTACCTCCACTACCTCACTTCCTGACTACTCTATGACTGAAAAAATACTTCCTACCATCCCTTTGACTTATCTGGGTCTTCAACTCTCATTTGTGATTCCTTGTTTCTGTGTCCCATATCTGGAACATCCTGTCTCTGTCCACCTTGTCTATTCCACGCAGTATTTTGTATGTCGTTATCATGTCCTCCCTAACCCTCCTGTCCTCCAGTGTCGTCAGGCCGATTTCCCTTAACCTTTCTTCGTAGGACATTCCCCTTAGCTCTGGAACTAACCTTGTCGCACACCTTTGCACTTGCTCTAATTTCTTGACGTGCTTGATCAAGTGTGGGTTACAAACATGTGCTGCATACTCCAGTATGGCCTGACGTACACGGTGTACAGTGTCTTGAACGATTCCTTACTAAGGTATCGGAACGTTATTCTCAGGTTTGCCAGGCGCCCGTATGCTGCAGCAGTTATCTGGTTGATGTGTGCTTCCGGAGACGTGCTCGGTGTTATACTCACCGCAAGATCTTTCTCCTTGAACGAGGTTTGCAGTCTTTGGCCACATAGCCTATACTCCGTCTACGGTCTTCTTTGCCCTTCCCCGATCTTCGTGACTTTGCATTTGGTGGGGTTAAATTCGAGAAGCCAGTTGCTGGACCAGGTGTCCAGCCTATCCAAGTCTCTTTGAAGTCCTACCTGATCCTCATCTGATTTATTTCTCCTCATTAACTTCACATCATCTGCGAACAGGGACACTTCTGAGTCGAACCCTTCCATCATGTCATTCACATATACCAGAAATAGCACTGGTTTTAGGACCGACCCCTGTGGGACCCCGCTTGTCACAGGTGCCCACTGTGATACCTCATCACGTACCATGACTCGTTGTTGCCTCCCTGTCAGATATTCTCTGATCCATTGCAGTGCCCCTCCTGTTATACGCGCCTGTTCCTCTAGCTTCTGCGCTAATCTCCTGTGAATAACTGTGTCGAAGGCCTTCTTGCAGTCCAAGAAGATGCAGTCAACCCACCCCTCCCTCTTGTGTCTTTCTTCTGTTACTTTATCATAAAACTCCAGTAGGTTTGTGACACAGGATTTGCCTTCCATAAATCCGTGCTGATTGGCGTTTATACACTTGTTCCGTTCCAGGTACTCCACCACTCTCCTCCTCATAATCTTCTCCATGACTCTGCATACTGTACACGTCAGTGACACTGGTCTATAGTTTAGTGCCTCTTTTCTGTCTTCTTTTTTAAATATGGGTACTACATTTGCCGTCTTCCATACCTCAGGTGGTTGCCCAGTTTCAAGGGATGTGTTGAAGATTGTGGTTAGTGGCACACACAGCATTTCTGCTCCCTCTCTAAGGACCCACGGGGAGATGTTGTCTGGTCCCATTGCCTCTGAGGTATCAAGGTCCCTTAGCAGCTTCTTCACCTCCTCCTCAGTTGTGTGTATGACATCCAACACTTGTTGGTATATTCGTTGTTGGCGTCCCCCTCTGTTTTGTCCACTCAGAGGCGTTCCTCTCTCCACTGTAAATACTTCCTTAAATCTCAAGTTGAGCTCCTCACATACTTCTTTATCGCTTCTGGTGAGTTCCCCACCTTCTTTCCTCGGCCTGTCACCTGGTCCTTGACTGTTGTCTTTCTCCTAATGTGGCTATAGAGCAGTTTCGGGTCAGACTTGGCTTTCGATGCTATGTCGTTTTCGTACTGTCGCTGGGCCTCCCTCCTTATCTGTGCATAGTCGTTTCTGGCTTTTCGACTGTTCTCTTCATTTTCCTGGGTCCTTTGCCTCCTGTACCTTTTCCATTCTCTGGTGCACTTAGTTTTTGCCCCCGTACACCTTCGGGTAAACCAAGGACTCGCTTTGGTCTTCCCATTATTTTTATTGCCTCCCTGCATTTTGTTGTTACGTATTCCATCATTTAATTTACTGACTTTCCTACCAATTCTCTGTCCCACTGAACCTCCTGCAGGAAGTTTCTCATGCCTGTGTAGTCCCCCTTTTATAGTTTGGCTTTTCCCATCCAACACCTGTTACCCTCTCCACTTTTATGTGATGTCCTCAATATCTGAACTGCTCAGGGTGAACACAAGGTCCAGTCTTGCTGGTTTATCCTCCCCTCTCTCTCTGGTAGTGTCCTTAACATGTTGATGCATGAGGTTTTCCAGTACGACATCCATCATCTTGGCTCTCCATGTTTAGGGACCCCCGTGTGGCTCCAGGTTTTCCCAGTCGATTTGTGTGTGCGTGTGTGTGCGTGTGTATGTGTGTGTGCGTGTGTGTGTGTGTGTGTGTGTGTGTGTGTGTGTGTGTGTGTGTGTGTGTGTGTGTGTGTGTGTGTAACTTGCACCTCACTGGGTTAGATTTCCTGGCTTGGCGAGACGTATGGGCTCTTACACCTGTTGCCCCTCTTCACCTAGCAGTAAATAGGTGCCCGGGTGTTAAGTGACTGGTGTGGGTGGCATCTTAGGTCAATAACAAATATTATGTTCAGATGAACATATGTGTTATTGAACTGTGTTGAGTTATTCTCTGTTTGTTACTCTTTTTCTTCGTTTTTTCTTCCTCATTCATATTTTTGTTGTTAATCATATGTTTTTCTCCTTTGCTTTGTCTTCTTTTTTGTCTTATTCTTCTTCGTTTTCATTTTCTTCATCTTCATGTTCTTCTCTGTCTCTCTCCTCTTCCTCCTCCTCCTCCTCCTCCTCCTCCTCCTCCTCCTCCTCCTCTTCCTCCTCCACTCCCCCCCCTCTCCCTCCCCCTCCCCCCTCCCCTCCTCCCTCCCCCTCCCTCCTTCCTCTTAGCTTGGTTTACAGGAGCTGATTTAGGATAATTTTTGGAGTCAGATCGTCCATATATTAAGGAGAGTCAGGTGGCGTCAGTCAGGCGGCGTCAGTCAGGCGGCCATCACTGACTAATGGCAGACATTACCGCCAGATTTAGGAAGGAACACATTTCACGGATGCAAGAATCACCTGGATTTGGATTCGGTGACCCGTATTTAATTTTCCTTCAGAGTTCATCCATTGTTTGCTCATCCAGTTCACAACTGATGTTATCGTGCGCCGAAATTATCAATAATTTCTGTTGTTATATTGTAGGGAAACTGTGATAATTTCTAGACAGTATAACAAGAAAAGTTATAATTTTTTTGTTACGTTGTGTAAAAATTATTTTTAATTTTTGTTATATTGTGTAGAAATTGTCATTAATATTTTGTTGTAATATATTGTATAAATTATAATAATTTTATTTCTATTGTGATAAAATTATTATAATTTTTCATGTATTATTGAGAAATTATTATTTTTTTATTATATTGTGTAGAAATTATAATTCTTGTTGTTATATAATGTAGAAATTATTATAATTTTTTATATTTTACTTAGAAATTATAATAATTTTATTACTGTTGTGAAGAAATTATTATATTTTACATGTTGTTAGAAATTATCATAATTTTTACATAAATTTATTCTCTAAAACTGCATTTCAATTGGGGAAAAATTAACCAGTTTTTAATTATTTATATAAAATAAGAATTATAAGGAACCTTAATGGCTATCACTCTGGACCGACATTTTTACTGGACAAAAAAATTCGAGTTTAGAGATTTATACCTTTAACTCTGTCTCATTGAGACCGTATATCAGCATTAATTGTAAAGTTAGGTTATAATTCATGCAGCGTTCAGACGAGCTGGTTATTCAGTACCAGGAGTGGTGTAGGCTTGATCCTCCGTCCCCTGTCACGGAGGATCACTCCGATTTTTTTTTCATTATACGTAGTAACGCGTCTGTATATATGTCGTTTATGTCAGCTAGACCTATATACCTTGTACATGTACTTGTAAAGATCAATATATTATTATTATTATTATTATTATTATTATTATTATTATTATTATTATATTATCTATGTATTGGTGCGTTAGACCTGTGTGTATTGCGCCATAGTCCGTATCTTCGTAGGATGTTTCACAGATTTTTAGCTGGATGGGCGAATGCATTTTGTGCGTCACGCGTAATAGTGATGATAGGTGTAGAGATATGTGTACTATAGTGTACTTAGCTAAATGGAGGCAATAACGATAGAAG